ATCTGTATCTAACATCAGGAACTGAAACGCAGACAGTGGAGTGAGTGGCCGACGGCACAATCAACCGTAACCATCTGGGTAAGCTCAGTGCAAGCGCTGCACGCGAAAGCACGTGGCACACGGCGATTGGGTAGAAAGTTATTTTCTGCATAATAGTTGTTTCGGTGCACCACCAGCGGAGCGCCGCTAACATCGCCGCCAAAGCCGTTTTTTTTTGTATATATATAGCTAAGTGACGTTGCCTAAAGCAACGCTGATGGGTGGGTTGCACGCGGGCTTAGGTTGCTGCAAAACGTGGCTTCTTACTCAATTTCTTTTTTTTTAATTTTGTTGACCCGAAAGTGGACCAGAGGGCACGACGAAGCTCTTTGGGCCGCCTCAGCATTGTTGCTATTGACCGCTAGGAATACTAAGAAAATGGAACACTCGCTGAACACCGTGACACGCTGAAGTGTCAGTGCCCTTTTTGACACGTTTTCAAAGAACGCTTCCTGGGCGCTTACATAATCAGCCGTGACCGCCTTGCTCACAGCTAAAAAAGAAAATGATATGCACGTGCACGTTCCGTTTTCCTGCGTCTGCTCGCTAGGCTGTGTGTTCTGGCGCTACCATCAGATCTCGTAAACGGCATTGCCGGGTGCCTATCATCGTCGTTTCCTTATCCGATTTCCATGTAGTGCTTGACTGTAAAAGCTAACCTGGAATGGACCTTTCAGACCGACCGCTACGGCCCTAGCTCTGCGGCATTCTAACCTCAGTATTCACAAATGGTCCTCGACTCGACTTTCACCTTCACTTGACAGAATTGAGCACTGCGCCACCACTCGGCTAAAAATGACGCTGTGCTACTCAAGAATTGCAACAGACTATTGCTAATATGCAGTGACGTGCCGTACCTAGAGATGGCGCTCCCATCGGCTTTCTCAAGGGTATCTATAAAGGTAACAAGGTAGTTATAAAGTGGGAAAAACAGGTATCCAAGCCTGTAGAGGTAAAACGGGGGCTTAGGCAGGGGTGCCCCCTGTCACCCTTATTATTCATGATGTACCTACAAGGATTAGAGGCAAAATTAGAGGGAAGTGGACTGGGCTTCAACCTCTCTTTAGTCAAGCAAGGAAAACTTATTGATCAGGCACTACCAGCATTAATGTACGCAGATGATATAGTGCTAATGGCCAACAACAAGGAAGATTTGCAGAGATTGATGGACATCTGCGGTAATGAGGGAGATAGGTTAGATTTTAGATTCAGTAAGGAAAAATCAGCAGTCATAATTTTCAATGACAACGAAGGTAGTGAGCTTAGAATACAGGAGGTCACGCTAGGGATAACAGATAAATACAAATATCTGGGCGTATGGATAAGCAATGGGACCGAGTATCTGAGGGAACACGAAATATACGTGACGACTAAAGGTAACAGGAATGCAGCAGTGATGAAAAATAGGGAACTGTGGAATTACAATAGGTATGATGTTGTGAGAGGAATATGGAAAGGGGTCATGGTTCCTGGGCTGCCGTTCGGCAATGCGATCTTGTGCATGAGATCACAAGTTCAAGCAAGATTAGAAATTAAGCAACGTGGAATAGGTAGGCTTGCTTTAGGGGCTCACGGGAATACACCAAATCAGGGAGTACAAGGTGATATGGGATGGACATCATTTGAGGGCAGGGAAGCTAGCAGCAAGATAAAATTTGAGAAACGATTGATAGAAATGGGGGAAGAGCGTTGGGCTAGGAAGGTTTTCAGCTACTTGTACATGAAGAATCTCGATACAAAATGGAGGAAGCGAACCAGGAAGTTGACTGGTAAATACTTAGAAAACAGGAGGTGGCCAAACCAAAAAGAACTATCGGTTAAGGAGAAAGTGAAGGAAACGGAGACTGACATGTGGAGAATGGGCATGATTAAGAAGTCCGCACTAGAGATCTATCGAACTTTTAAGCAGGAAATTGCCAAGGAAAGAATCTATGGTAATACTCGGGGTAGTTCTCTACTGTTTGAGGCCAGGACGGGAGTACTGCGAACCAAGACATATCGGGCCAAATACGAAGGGGTAGACACAGTATGCAGTGCGTGTGGAGAGGAAGAAGAAACTGCCGAACACTTGATAATGTTCTGTAAAGGGCTTCACCCTATAGTTCAGGATGATGGCGCAGAGTTTTTCAAAGCACTGGGGTTTAGGGACCGGGAGGGCAAAAATAAACTTTAGGTGGGTAGACGTAACTAGAAAGAGGTTATCTGATTGGTGGCTAAAGTCAAGGCACGAGTGAAAATTAAACTCTTCACTGCAAAGTACGAATCCTCAAACTCACTTTTTAAGAAAAAAAATAAATATAGTTTTTGGTTCATTAGGTATTACGGCTTGGTGGCACTAGCCACCGCCCGATCTAAAGGGTACAGCCATATCCATCCATCCATCCATCCATCAAGTGAAGGCGAAGCGTTGAGTGAAGGGAGGTCCTAGAATACGGGGGTAAGAGTTAAAGGGCCAGGTCAAGTCAAGATTCTTGACAATGTGACGCACACCCACGCTGGAGGATTACCAAGAACCGGATATTTTTCATGAGTTTCTTCCTCAATAACAGGTTAAGAATAACCTATTTACGATAAATAAAAGAAAGATGAAACAGGAGGACTTTAATGGTTGAATTTTAAATAATCTGTAGTGTAATGCAACAACGCGACCAGTCAACGGCTCCGAAACGCGCAAGAAAAGCTCGCGCATATTTCCAGCATGTGACCAACCTCCTTCCACGCGCAGTGACGTCAACCCGGCGATCGGCGACGTGACACAGCACGCAGATTGTTGATTGGTCTAAGCCAGGTCTCTACAAACAGCAATGAAGTGAACATCGCCGATCGCCGAGTTTACGTCACTGCGCGTGGAAGGAGGTTGGTCAGGCGTACGAAAGATGCGCGAGCTTGTTTGGAGGGTGTAAAAAAAAAAAGTCGGAGCCTGTCGACTGACCCTTTAAGGTTGTTGTGATAGTGAGTAACAAAGAAAAAGAATAACTAAAGAAAAGAACGACTGATAGAAACATGTCCAGTACAGTGGTCTAGCGGTTGGGGGGCTCAGCTACTGACCCGAAGGTCACGTGTGTGATCCCGGCCTCAGCACTCGCATTTCTATGCAGTCACAATCAGTGCACGTTAAGCAACACCACACGGTCGAAATTTCAAGAGCTGTGTGTGTGCGAGCGTGTGCGTGTGTGTGTGTGTGTGTGTGTGTGTGTGTGTGTGTGTGTGTGTGTGTGTGTGTGTGTGTGTTTGTGTGCGTACGTGTGTGTGTGTGCGTGTGTGTGCGTGTGTGTGCGTGTGTGCGTGTGTGTGCGTGTGTGTGTGTGTGTGTGTTACAAATGCTGTGTGACACTTTTTAGTTTTTTTCATTAAAGAAAACACTGCGTATATCTTCACTGTCTTAAACATGGAAACAGTTACTGTTTTTCATATCGAATACAACGTGGAAGGACTCAGCTGAAAAACACTCGAACGCATACCAGAACCCGTGAGAAAAACCGGATAAACCAATCTTACGTGACCCCCGAGGAAATAAAGAAAACAAAGCGGAAACAAACGCGAATTGTAATACGAAAACATATATGAATGTACGTGCATCAAATCAGCCGGTGAGGCGAATTGGTTAGTTAATGCTGTATGAGAATCAGTAAGCGAAAGTGTAATATCTTTTATGACGCATTAGCAAAATTACATTCTGAACCATCTATATTTCAGGGTTCTACTGCAATCTACAGAGTAAACAAAAAGAAGGAGATGGCTTTGGCCTTTAAGTTATCTCACAGGCAAACACGCAAGAGGCTACGTGACCTTTTTAAAGGCGGAAGGAGGAGAACAGAAAACATTGCACACGTAAGTGCTGCGTTGTGCAATCTGTGGGACTTCTTTCTGGAGCCGTTGCAAATAATGAATAGCAGACCACGCTAAATCGTCTGGAAGCTAGTAGTATTGAGCCACTGTGTATGTAGGTAACGAGCATTCGGCATGAAATAAAACGGCCACAAAAAGTCACATATAGAATGGACAACACTTTTTCATCGACTAATGTATTGTCTTGAAATTGTGTAAGTTTATTTCGCACGAGAATATGCGCACCCACTGTCAAACCTAAAGTAGTCTTGTAATATATTCTCTCGAGCACTAATGCACAAAAAAAAAATCATCACGCTAACGAAGTTCCTGCCAAGAGGTCCCACATCCACTCCCGTATGAAGTCTTGGTAAAAATAAAAATAAATTTATAGTTAGTTATGCAATTACAACGTGTTGAGTTCTTGCTTTAGATTTACTGATAAAGCACAACCTTCGCATTTGATTACTTATTTTTCTCAGTATTCATAGTTAATTATTTCACAGCCGTGTATCAAGCTTAGATTCACTTTCTCTGGATGGGTGTGAAACACCTACGTTTTCGATATCCGAGGCTTTTGAGTTCAAGCGCTTGTGAGTGCCACACCAAGTGTCTTTTCTGTGCTAAATTTACTCAGAGATGCTGCCTATAAGCGACATGTTTAAAGAGCGCCATATTGTTTGGGATATAACACATGGAAGGCAGTGAAAGCTGTTTAGTGCTTCTTCAAAAAATTCAAGATGTGGCTCACTGAGATTCCAGAAGACAAACTTCAGACGGGTAAATAATGTACCCAGCACTACCTTCAATCTACTTAAAATTTATGAACATGGTCATGCCACCTAGCCTTGCTATTTGTAAGTTTGTTGGCGTTTTTTTTTTTGTAGCTCGGAGGTTGTTTTGTTTTGTTACGTTGTATGCAAGGGTGATAAATACTTCTGTAATGCTTTTGAGCTCTCTCAAAATAAGCCAGTAGGGTAGGGCGTATGATTTACAAACGTGTTGTCGTAGTACACCGTACCTGCTAGTTATTGTTAACATGTCATGATGATGCTAAAGAGTACGACGCAATCAGCCGTGAAATCTGTTGTCTTTTCAGTATCAGTATACAAATATTGAATTTTCGTACTCACCCCGTTTTGGTGAAGGTCATCCAGATATCCATAATGTGACGCGAGAACTGCACCTCCTCTTCTGTAAACTGCTTGGGGAACCTGAGCGGAACACCAAACACAAACTCCACCTCATCGAAATGAGCCGTACCCAGCCACTCCGGCCAATAGCTGTTGCTGGGCCGATGCAAGAAGTGATAAAAGTAGACGCTGTTGTTAAACTCCGAATACACCTCGCCGTAATAGATGGTCGGGCAAATTTGAAGATAATCGCCAATGGCCTCAATGAACGCGTTCCGAACGCTCGGATAGTCCCGGTCCTTGATGTTTTTAAAGTAGTGGTCCCTGATGTTGCGAGTACCTGTCCGTATGATGTACTGAAAAAAGAAGATGAGGTAGAACGCCGCCTCGTCTTTGGTGATGTTCGGCGCGAGGCCGTTGAGAAAGATGTAAGGAAGTGTGTTTGCCACGAAGATACTGCCTTCGTCCTTGTTCACGCCTAGAAGCACGTCTGAGTCCTTGAAGAGTCCCTTCTTGAGAGCCTCGTGCGCGTTCATTGGCATGAAGTCATCTCCGTGCCGTGGGTGGTACGTGAGCACACGCTTGCCCAGAGCTTTTTCGGCCGTGCGAAAGAGCGCGTCCGCTTCGATACTGCGCAGGCAACGAACTACGTCGGCGGCAGTGGCCTCATCCTGGAAGTTGTGCGTGGCGTTCGAGCACTTGAAGATCTCGGCGAACTCCGTCGCCTTCTTAACTCCATCGGCCGTGTTGTCGGGCGTGTCCCACAGCGGGCTGCCGCTCTGCAGGATGACGCGCTTCACCATGTTGCGGCTCATGGGGGAAATAAGGTGCAGGCCCGCTGACACGGCGCCGGCGCTTTCGCCCATTAGCACCAAATGATCGGGGTTGGCACCGAAGGATCTGGCATTCTCGTGTAGCCAGCGTAAAGCCAGGTTCTGGTCATACAGTCCCATGTTACCTGGGATGTCCTCGATATCCGCGTTGAGGAAGCCCAATGCTCCAAGACGGTAGTTCATTGATGCCACCACAACGTCACCGTAAGCTGCAAGGACACCGCCATCGTAGAATTCCCAGTCGGTGGCACCAATGTTGAAACCTCCACCGTAAATGAAGACGAGCATGGGTCTCAGTTGCGAAGAGGCCTTCGTCGCATTGTGTCTATTCGGAGTCCACACGTTCAAGTGCAAGCAGTCTTCGCTTTCGGGCTTTTTGCTTGCAGCCCAATTCCAGCTGGATGCGAACGATATGTGGTAGCATGGAGGGCCCATCTCCTTTGCGTCCAGAACGTTCTCCCATGGTTTCACCGGCAGCGGTTTTTTGAACCTGAGCTCTCCTAGCGGCGGCGTAGCGAAGGGTATACCAAGAAAAACATCAAGCTTGCGGCCTAGAACCTCTGTTTTGAAGCCCGCCACCATGCCGGTGGTAGTATTGACGAGTGGCCGGCCGTCTTCCGTGGTCTCGAGCAACAGTGGCGGTGATGTAACTGTAGCGGGCGTTGTTGTTTCTGCTTCGACCGCGATGCTAATATCTGTTGCGCTAAGCACGTCTACGTTTGTCTCCAAGTCATTGTTGCCACTCCCTCGACTGGGCGTGTCTGGGGAATTGCCCGTCGATGGAACCAAGTAGGCGTCCGGTAGCGGGTCCTGTGGTGCAAGTAGCGACTGTGGCCTCCCCGCTGCAATGTACCTGTCCCCGTCGTCGGAAGTGTCGGACACGTCATTGACAGGTCCGATGATGGTGAGTTCTCCCTTTCGTTTCTGTGGTACCAAAGGCGGGCCGTCTTGGCCCGAGTCCTTTTCGGGTCCGGGGCTAGCCAGGAGTTCGGGCGGGAGCTGTAGCACAAGGGTGGCGATGGAGATTGCGATAAGGCACACAAGCCCCAACAGCAGGCACACCACCCATGTCCGCATTGCGCCCTTCGGTTTCCACTCTGCGCTCGAGAGAAAAGGTGAGAGTTACGTTCGTGCCTCTAACGTCGATGCGTGTTTCTATATTTTTTTCTTTGCTTCAGGAAGGAAGGAAGAGAGGTGGTGCGCGGCAAGGAAGCGCGATGAGGCCCCCTAGCGGAAGACTCCGCGTCGAGCGCAAATTGAAATGCCGGTAGGAAAGAAAGTGGGGTACCGATGTAACAGGGTCTGATTTGGGAGTCAGATAGCCACCTTCCACTTACGTGTGTGCTGTTTTGATGTAGCGCATCCTCTGTAGCGCACACCCACTCACCTTTTTTCACACTTTTCGCAGTTTTTTTTTATCCTTTACTTTCCCTTCACGCGAGCGTCGCGTTACGAAGTGCAGTAGCTCCCACAAAATGTTTCTGCTACTTGGAGTTCCTGCCGGCGTCAACCGTTCTTCACTGAGTGAACGAATGCCTGAAGCTTGCGCGGCATTCTAAGTGCCAGCGGTAGGTTAAATATGTTACGCACCAATCTAGCTTTTTCTTAGCTGATGGAAGATAGCCACGTTGTTTATGGCACTTACGGCAAGCTTAGGGTGCAGGGCCAGCGTTGATGATAAAAGGTGACCTAACACGTACCATGTAAAAATGAGAAAACAATTAGTTTAGTAATCCCCTGGTCATAAGCAGCTGAAAACGTATTTGCCGTTGTTTCTACACACTTTTCGTACTATACTAAGACAGTTGATTACCTCGTTAGCGTTGTTATAAACTTAATTTGGCGTTCAGGGTAGCCAGCCGGTCTGAGAACTGGCTAACCTCTCTGTCCTTGCGCTTAATCTTTCCCCCTCCTCTTGAATTTGGCGTTAGCATGGCTGGTAAAGTGCGTGTTAGTCTCCATTTGGCTCCTCCACTTCCTTTCAATCTCCTTCGCCTCCAAATATTTACTATTATAAATAAAAACTGAACGAACATCTCGAAAACGGATTCCCGCTGAAGCACATGTCTACATGAAAAAATATTTATTACTCTCTGGTGAAAATACTTTATTAAGTGTTATGTTTTTCAATTACATGAAGATATGGTAAGTAATGAGGCTAAACGAATCCACCTGTAATCTCAGTATCTCTTGCACTAGTTTCCATTGCCTAATAGTTGAGATATATTCGAAGATACATTCAACCTACCTTTGTATAAAAAAAATAAGACAACTCAAGTACAATTGCCCATTTTTAAATTGTTGATTAACGTTGGTAAATATCCTGCTAGCATACAATTTACAGAGGCATACTAATTATTTTGGAGAGCAAAGAGAACTACCGAGCACAAATAGGCGAAATGCATCGCCTTATAGGCACATATAGCATTTACTCAATTGATTTCTTTAGAAGCACTGAACCATCAACATTACAGAAACGTGCTAGCGTCCGCCGTTGGTGGTGTAGCGGTTATTGTGCTTGGCCGCTGACCTGGAGGTCAATCACGGCAGCGGCGGTCACATTTCGATGGAGCTTGAATGGTAGATGCCCGTGTAGTGTGTGACGTCAGTGCACGTTAAAATACACCAGATTGTAAAAAAATTCCGCAGCCCTCCACTACACGTCCCTCATAATCATATCGCGGCTCTGGGACGTAAAACCCCAGATAATACTATTACGATTATTATTAGAAACGTGCCACCAGAATAAAACCGCGAACGTATAAATGATTTAGTGCTCATGTTTTCCAGACAGGAAACCGAAAGGCCTGCCAGCCCTGGTCTCGCGGTTTAACTCTATGCGACCTGCACACGTGAGATATGGACCAGCACGCAATGTTGCGCGTTGTGTCGGAAACGTGCATGTCGCAAGCGCGTGCACTACAAAACGCCAGTTACGTCACCGCATGCTCAACGCACGCATTATGCTAATCAAGTTGCGGGGGCGTCTCCTTTTCGCGTGATGCGTGTAAAAGAGTAATTCGCGTAATGCCATGCAAGAGAGCCACAGGGCAACCATCCCAGCGTTGTCTTCGCAAGAGTTCAAGCTCCCTAACTATACTCACGTGCCTTGTGCAGACTACACGCGCTGGTCAAATGTACGTGTGAGCTTTGGAGAATGTTGTAACAAAGTTGTATTTCCATTTGGGTTATCGAGAATGGAGCACGCAGTGGCCTTGCCCCGGCTGCAGCAGACACGCAATGCAAGCGTGAGCGGCGCGAAGCCCGGGGCAAAGGAGAGCAAACGCGCACAAATGGAGGGCAGGCAACTCGTCGGCCGGCCGCTCGATCTGGTCAAGGACAGCGAATAAATCGACTCGCCGCCTCTTGTGCAAGTAAACACGCGTAGGAGAGGTTCACGCTAAGAGCGTCGGAGAAACTCGTTGTGGCTGGTAGAGTGCTTGCATTCCCTGCTATCCCTCGTCCTCGCGGAGACAAAGAAGATAACCAAAACTTTTGAACAGAAGCGTTCCGGCCACGGCAAAGCTCTGCGGCCCCTGGATGCATGGCAGTGTGCCGCTTCTTCAGCATTCAGAGTGCCGTTAAGATCTAGCAAAAGGTACACATGTCCTCCTGAACTATTTGGTCTACAAAAACAAGCGTTGAAGAAGTTCAAAGTAAAATAGAAAGCCTATCCGTTTCTCGGCGGCACGTTGACGATGTGTGGTAACGGTATTTCTGCAAAAACACAGTATCTGTGATCTCTATGGCCTACCTGGTTCATCTGTATCTACAAAATAATGTGCACACCCGACTTGGGACTTCTACCCGCCGCGGGGGTCTAGTGGTTACGCTGCTCGTGTGCTGACTCGAAGGTCGCGGTTATCAAATCCAGGCTATATGCCAGAGGTCCGCGTACTTTTATTTAAGTGCATATTAAAGAGCCTCATGCACCAAATTTCCGTTACCCTCAATTACAGCGTCTATCATAGCCATATCGTGGTTTTGGGTCGTAATTTCCCCGCTCCCCCAATTATTATTTTCCAGCGGAAGGTGGCTAGGCGTTTCGTAAACACAAACAGACAGCGAGAAACCATTTGTTTAGTGTACACTAACTGGACTTTCCATCCCTCAGCCACGTGTTCTGTTTCTGCAAAACACAGTTACTTATCTTTATGGTCTATCTGGTTCCCACTGTTCCTACAAAACAATGAAAACACCCGGGTTTGCGACTTCTCAGTGTAGTCCAATCACTCATTACTATCACTTTTTTTTTAGATAGCCATTGGTTAAATGCTGACAGTGCAATGTTTATGCGATAAAGCCATTTCAAATCGTTGTTAATCATGGCAAAACGTGCAACTACCTCAAGGCATCTTTAGCGTTCCGCCAGAGTGAAACAAGTTGACGTGACTGTCAGGAAGCCTACATTATATCTCGCACACTCATGCTCCAGGACACTTCACATCAAAATTTATCGTAAGTTGTCTCTGCGATTCCTAACCTCAGAGAATGGCGTGGCCCCACTGAGCTGTTACCATCTTTAGAAATTCGCGCCAAAACAAACGACGTCGTCATTAGTTACGAACACTGCGCATTATCACCAATCGTCCAATCAAACGCACCGCTCGTTAAGCAAGAAGAGAGGCATGTGCATTGTTTCGCAACAGATCGTGTAGCTTTTGCATTCGGAGAGGAACGGTGGCCCGTGAGGACGATGCTCTTTGCGTAGGTCAAAGCAGTCCACAAACAGCGTGAAAATTGACTCTTTCACCATACACAACCGCGTTCTGGCACTTCACTTTCAAAATGAAGTAACAGCTGCTTCGGATGCAGTGAGTTAGACTGTTTTCCAAGATAAGCAGGTACTGTTTCATACAGTTTTTCCTACTCCGTTGTGCAGGCTGAGCTTCCTACTACGCGAGATCCCGTGGGCTTTTTCACTTCATTTTCAGCGGCTCCCGTATTGTATTACGGCGCGTCTGCGGGGAAGCTGGCTTTCCAGTCCAAGGCCATCCACAGGCACGGAAGGAATTCTGGCGCGTGAGAAAAGAAAAATTCCATCGAAGCATTCTATAGTTGTCGATTGTATCAGCAAAGCCATGAGACAGCCGACATAAATTACCCAAAGGGAGCGAGGCAAATTGCCGCAATCTATGGTTGCTTCACTCCCGCGTTGCAACCTGTGAGTCTCTCCGTTATAACCAGACAGTCATGTGGCACAGCCGCTCCACTCGTTTCACGGTTTTGTACAGATATGTGATTTCAGCAAATGAGAAAAGTGATTTCAGTTGCCTTTGTTGGGGCTCTCGCTGATTGAATGTTTAGATAAAACCTTATTATTCGTATTGCAAAGTTTTATTTGCGCCGGACTTCAGCATTAGTTTTGTTTCCTGTCACGACCATATTCTGGCGAGTTCCAAACTTCTGTTTTCACAAGGAAGCTTGCAAATAATTTCTATGCAGCTCAAAAAAAGAGAACGGGAACAAAGAAAGTTGGTGACGTCAGCCGGAGATTGTTTTGGCTGGGCTGATATCCAAAGGGGTTAGACAATACTAGTACAGAAATAGAAAAAAACCGAAACCAGCAGGTAATCAAGTGCTCACACTGGTTAAAAGTAGTATCCAATAACATTATACGTTATGCGACTGGACTGACCACTGCAATAAAAAAAAAAGATATACCAACTATCAGTATTCTGAACCTACGCATAGCCTATAACATCGGCGTCATCATTTTATGGGTGTCTAAAGGAGCCTAAAGATATACGCTCACGTATTTATGTTCACATCAAGTTCATTTTTCTGCATGACGTTCAAATTTCGAATTTATTGTTGCGAAGTATGGATTACACTGATTACGTCATAGCGATAGTTTATTTCGCACTACACATTGGTGGATACAGAGACGCATAATTGTGTGAGGATGGGAAGTGGTAGGCGAGGTTTTCTTAAAATCTTCCACGAAAATGTTGCTTCTGTTGACAAGCTCAGAAGAGGTGAGACTTCGTAACCGGCTGACACTTGTGCACTTTGTCTTCCTTGTCCGGCTCTGATGATTGTTTGTCACTTCTCAGTAAAGTTGTACTGGACTGAGT